TTTAGAGTGCAAAATATATCAGTGACGTCAATAGTATTTAAGCAGCAAAAAATATATAGTATTAAATTTTTACTTTTACACAATTATATAATTGTGTAAAAGTAATAATATGCTAATGGAACTACCCGATATAATATTCATTCTCGAATGGAAATAGCAGAAGAAAAAAATTAGAAAGCTGAAAATATTTTATGATAAATGTTTTGCTTTTATTACAAAGTTAACTACATTATTTTTATATAAAATTAATCCAAGAAATCAATTATTTTCTCATCAAAAGAAAATAATTAAATTGAATTTGACTCTCAAGTTTTGCGTTTTTACTTTGGTCAACACTGTTAAAATTACGAGTCATTGAGTCGACCAAAAAATTTTACAACTCGTCATTTATTTGGTAATTTTTTAGAAAAATAATTTTATTGATATTTTTTAATTTTATTTTATTCATAAATTTTCATTTAAAAAAATTAAATGGGATTTGACAAATCCTTAGATGCATAAAGAACGCACTATAGAACACATTTGTGTCAAGTATTACGGTTTCAAAGTTGTCGGAGTTGTGGAGTGTTAAGCGGATATAACTCCTCCCTGAAGCGGAGTCAAATCCGAGTCGATCCGGCTTCGGATATGATAAGCTCATCTCTATTCTAAATCATTCGATTAATATGAATGATGTATTCGACAAATTTATTCTAAATTAAGCAATCTACGAATTTGTCTAATACCGCAAAACCCTACAACAACTCGGTATACCCAAAATTGCCTCTAAAACCGACATATGTTCTTCTACTTCTATACAATCTAATTTCAACTATTAATCTCCTTCTCTGTATACCTTCATGTTTTTTCTCCTACGCCTGCGCACAAATCGAGACTATCGGATTCCAAATTCCGGGGTTAGTTCTCGAAAGTCCGGGTCCGGATCCGGACCTAAAAAAAATCCGGTTTACCGGGAAAACAATATTAAAAGTGATAAATATATATAGTAAAAAATTATTTTGTTAATAGATAATATATATAAATAAGTAAAGAATTTATTTTTTAAAAATATGGACTATAGTGACCGGCGAATTAAAAATTTATAAAAATTTTGAGTGCAAAAATTTAAATTTTTGAGTAAATTTTCAAAATGTGACATAAAAAGGTAGTAAATTTTTGTTTGAAATTTAAATTTATTCAAAAATGAAATCTACTGACGAGCAACTGTATTAACCCTTTCCACTGGCGAATTCCGAGATTTACATGAATTTTGCCGCCGGAGCGGCAGCATCCGAGTGGAAAGGGTTGATTTAAATAAATTTTATTAGAAGACATTTACAAAGACTTAAATTTGAACTCTACCGCTCAACAATTTTTTAAATTATTTCTTAAATCTGGATTTTTTTTTCCAAAAAATTAGTTTATAGTGCAAAATAATTAAAAAATTTGCTATAAAATTTACTGAATATTTAAATTTATTTTGCAAATAAGGACTTATACTGATGAGAAACCCAAAAGTTGCAATTTGTTATTAAGGTTGTTATTTGTGACATTAAATTTATTGGGTATTACTGCCCTAAGGCAGGTCCATCAGGAAGTTTAACTTCAACTCAATTTAATACAGAATAGTTTCTTCTCATTGCTATTTCACAACGCAGTGTCCAAAATGGGCTATTTTTTACTAGAAACGTATTTTTTGTCCCAAGTAAAATTGATATCTCTACGGCATGATACCAGGTTATCCAGAACTAGGGTTCAAATTCATGATGCAGTGCGTTTAACCGTTACGCCATGGAACGCTTTATTATATATTATTATAGATTATTAATTGCATATATCGTACACTGATGATGGCACGGATGAATATCGAAACGTATCGTAATAGATAATTTCATCAAGATAATTATATCTTGGTGCTTCAGATAATTTGTAGTAGGAGTCAACTGAGATAAATATTAATTCAAAAAAATTAAAATAATATTTGTACGAATATCAAAATAAAAAAACGACTCCGCTGGTGGACAACTTTGCAATTAAAATTATTAAATATTTTTTATACAATTTTTAAAAATAATTTTTTTAAGATATTTTTTATTTCCCGAAGAAGAAATTTAAGTTTTTTCCAGAAAATACGATTTGCTCATTTTTATTTTCTCGACGTCTTAAGTCATTCTGAATTGTTTGAAACCGTCAAATTACATGTTTGGTTAAAATTAGACCTTTCTGTTTTTTTTTTTCTCAAAAACCACCACGTTTTCTCAAAAACTGCTACAACGATTACAAAAATTTAAGATCCATCTGACGAAATTTTGATCTGCCGAGCCGTTTCTTTATATTTAGCAAAAAGCGCAAATTTTTTAGTAAACATTTCAGCCAAAAATGCTGAACCGATTTTAAAATTTAAAAGGTGTTCCACAGATAGCAGTTGGGATTCGAGTTTCTGGTAAAGATCGGCTGAGCCGTTTCTTTGTAATCAATTACAGAATTTTTTTGGTGATATTGATGAAACTTTGTATAAAGATAGAGTTCATGGTCAAATGACTATCGTAAAATATTATTGGCCTACGAAAAGTGGTCTAACTTTGAAAGTACATTAAAATATTTAGACATATAGGAAAGTTCTTGCAACTTGTCTTATGGCAAAATGCCACTTACACCCAGTTCATTGATATTCAGAATTTTTTGAACATGGGGAAGATCCTGCAACTTACCTTAAGGCAAAATGCCACTTACACCTAATTTAGTTAATATTTAGAAGATTTTTTGTTTTGTCTGTTCTCCGATATATGTTGCTTGTCAGTCAATACCTTTGATTATTGACTTATTGTTAGTAATACTTTTTTTTATTAATTAGTGATGTGTTTACATCGATGACAAGTCGAAATTTCGACGAATTTGAAAGGTTCGAAGATAAAGGATACTTTAGAAAGACAAGGTCGAAAGTTTGGGATCTTATTCGAAAGTCTTTGGAAAAGGTAAATGATATCTTGGTCTTAAAGACCCCACTACTATTTATAACATGCAGCTGGTGCGTTTATTCATTATAGCTCTTGTAACTTTTGAACTATGTCTATAAGTCTGAAACCATTCGATTAATATAAATGATATATATGGTGAATTTTTACAAAATTAAATATTATACAGCATTGTCTAACACTATAAAGCTCTACAGCAACTCGGTATACTCATAACTGGACCTAAAAGAATTATCTAAAAGTTGAAAAATAATCTCGACATGTGAAGAATCCACTGCATCGTTGATTTTAATTACTATCTAAGAAAATTTTGTATAACTTTTAAATAATTGCATTAATATAAATGATGTATTCGGCTAATTTGTACTGTTTTAAATAATTCACAATATTGTCTAATATTATAAGACCCTACAGCAACTCTGTATACTTCAAAATCGCATTTGAAAGTACACTATCATTGCTCAAACATTGTTCGAGTACTTATTTACTCCAACTCTTGTAACTTTCAAACCATTCGATTAATATGAATGATGTATTTGGCAAATTTGTGCAAAATTAAACAATCTACAACATTGTCTAACTTTATAAGACCCTACAGCAACTCGATGTACTCTAAAAACTAATTTGAAAAGAAAAGTAATCCTAACGTACAAATTTTCAGTATGTAGTTTACAAGTCTCAAACCATTCGTTTAATATGAATGGTGTATTGGCAAATTTGTACAAAATAAATATTAATTTATTCTTAAAATATAATTAATTCCCTAAACCCTATTTTGTTGAAAGTATTCGATTTCAAAAACTGTATTGAAAATTTCATATCCGAATTTTGTATTGGTGCCCCCTAAGGCGTGCGCTCGTACTTTTCGCATGCATCGCATTCAAGGTAGGCCTTGATTATTACTTAAATAATCTACAACCTTGTCTAACATCATGAACCCCTACAACAACTCGGTATACTTAAAAATTTGCTACAAGAATAAACCTAATGATTCAATAAAGTCTCGTATAAATACTTAATGGCAAAAACTGTTTGTGGGTGAACTTTTCAATAATTCAACCCCTGAAATTGCATTTCAAGGGCGGATTACACAATAATGCCGATGATATAGCATTTAGATGTGTATATATATATATATATATATATATATAAATAGTCACATAAAAGTTTTGCGACATTCGCAATAAAATCGATTGACAGCACTATGCAAATTGTATAAATTTAGAATCGTCTCGAATCTACATTTATTTATATACATATATATTATATATACACACACACACATATATATATATATATATATATATATATATGTGTGTGTGTGTGTGTGTGTGTTTAGTTTGCTGTTTTTTTCTACCCCTGATTTTTATAATATTTCTATTGGTATTAAAAGTAATTCTTAAAATATAATTAATTCCATAAACCGCTTTTTGTTGAAAGTATTCGATTAGAAAAACTATATTAAAAATTTCATATCTGAATCTTGTACTGGCGCCCCCTAAGACGTGCGCTCCTATTTTTCCATGCATTGCATTCAAGGTAGGACCGTACCTTATTATTACTTAATTTCATATTTTAAGTGAATTAATTTGCCAAATTCTGTTCATATGTGTATCAATCAATCTGCCATACATCATATACTGTATCTTATATTATTTTAATTTCTGGCACATCTCAGCTGCTTTTTTGGCAATAATAATGCAGACATTTTCATTTTCTTATTCATAATCATGAATTTATCATAAATATTCTAATATTGTCTAGGCTTATAAGTAAATTGAAATTTTTGGCTGGTGATAGTTTTCATTTGTTTTCAATGTCAAACAATGTCTCTCATATATTTTCAATGTCAAACAATGACATGTTGTTTTTGCATTTTTTTCATTTGTTTGTACAATATTACTTTATTTTTTTGATCACATACATCCTAAAAAATCCCTTAACAAACTTCAGAAAGATTTATCAAAATCGGAGTAATCGTTTAGGAAGAGTATATTTACATACATTATTACAGAAGAAATTATATATTAAAATATCTTCTTTCAGAGTGACGGCAACTATGGAAGTTCTTCAACCGGTCTGGACGCTTCCGGAGGCGCTGTGCCCTCTCAAGGGGGCACCGGCGAAGAGGTTCGACTGGACGATGAAATGGATAAGGTTTTCGCCTCGATGACGTCACCTGGTGGTGTCACTACTTCCGGGGACAAGGACAAGGAAAAATTCGACGTGGCCAGTCTCTCTGCACCGCCACCTGTCGTCGAACATTTTCACGATGATATGGAGTACAGCCGTAAGTTAAGAGAAGAAATAAATAACTGTAATATATATATATATATATATATATATATATATACGTGGTGTGTTCAAAAAGTACCCGGAATTACTAATAAATAAATTTCGCGGGTCTGGAGTGTCTGATTGTCAAAATTTTTTTTTATTGTGTTGGTATACATGCCCCTAAAGTATGATGAAATTTTCAGCTATATTCACTGTTTACTTTGTCTGTGGTAGTCGCTAAGGTTCGACGTGTTTTTCTGAGCTCGGCGATTTTTACAATGGAAGAATTGAAAAGTCAAAGAATTTGTATTAAATTTTGCGTAAAAAATGAAATAAAGTGTTGCAAAGTGCAAAAATTCACCAGATATGGCTCCGTGTGACTTTTTCCTATTCCCAAAGTTGAAGAGACCCATGAAAGGACGGCGGTTTTCCTCGATTGAAGAAAATCGCTGAGAGTGCTCAAGGACATATCAAAAGTGAATATCAAGGGTGCTTCGAAAATTGGAAAAAACGCTGGCATAAGTGTATTATATCTGGGGGGGACTACTTTGAAGGGGACCACATTAATGTAGACGAATAAATAAATATTTTTTGAAAAAAAACGAAAATTCCGGGTACTTTTTGAACAGACCACGTATATATATATATATATATATATATATATAATATACAAATGAATAAACCAACATTGTAATTTAAAAAAGTCCTAATCAATATAAGACCATGTTTTCGGAACATATTATTAATTTAAACCATACTTTTAATACCAAGAATCCTATTATTTCATATAAAGAAACTTTAGAAAGTTTGCTGAATCTGTATTTATCTTTTTATAGCCTCATTGTGTTAGTTAATCGTATTAATAAACAAAATTTTGCCATTTTAGTACATGATACTTATCATAACATTATCTATTTTTTTTAAAATAATAGTATATTGTAACGATTGTAATTATTGTTACATCGGAGAAAGTTCACAATATTTGAATCAACATATCCGTAATTTAAAAATGTCCTGATCAATATAAGACCATGTTTTCGGAACATATTATTAATTTAAACCATACTTTTAATACCAAGAATCCTATTATTTCATATAAAGAAACTTTAGAAAGTTTGCTGAATCTGTATTTATCTTTTTATAGCCTCATTGTGTTAGTTAATCGTATTAATAAACAAAATTCTGCCATTTTAGTACATGATACTTATCATAACATTATCCATTTTCTTAAATAATAGTATATTGTAATGATTGTAATTATTTTTACATTGGAGAAAGTTCAAAATGTATTTACAAAAGAATAAACCAACATATCTGTAATTAAAAAAAATCCTAATCAATATAAGACCATGTTTCCGGAACATATTATTTATTTAAACCATACTTTTAATACCAAGAATTCTTTTATTTCACATTAATAAACTTTTAAAAGTTTGCTAAATCTGTATTTATCTTTTTAAAGCCTCATTGTGTTAGTTAATTGTAATAATAAACAAAATTCTGTCATTTTAGTACATGATACTTATCATAATATTATCCATTTTTTTTTAAATACTAGTATATTGTAACGATTGTAATTATTCTCACATTGGAGAAAGTTCACAATATATTTACAAAAGAATGAACCAACATATCTGTAATTAAAAAAATCCTAATCAATAAAAAGCCATGTTTTCGGAACATAATATTCCTTTAAACCATACTTTTATTACAAAGAATCCTATTATTTCGCATAAATAAATTTAGAAAGTTTACTGAAACTGCATTTATCCTCTTAAAGCCTCATTGTGTTAGTTAATTGTATTAATAAACAAAATTCTGCCATTTTAGTACATGATACTTATCATAACATTATCTATTTTTTTAAATAATAGTATATTGTAACGATTGTAATTATTGTTACATTGGAGAAAGTTCACAATGTATGAAGCAACATATCTGTAATTTAAAAAAGTCCTAATCATAGTAAGACTATGCTTTTGGAACATATTATTAATTAAACCATACTTTTAATACCAAGAATCCTATTATTTCACATAAATAACGAAAGAGCGTGTTGCTGATGTTATTTTCAAAATAAATTTTAACGATTGTAATTATTGTTACATTGTAGAAAGTTTACAATAATTAAATCGACATATCTGCGATTTAAAATAGTCCTAATCGATATAAGACTATGTTTTCGGAACATATTATTAATTTAAACCATACTTTTAATACCACGAATCCTGTTATTTCACATAAAGAAATTTTAGAAAGTTTGCTGAATCTGTATTTATCTTTTTAAACCCCCATTGTTAATAAACAAAATTGTGCCATTTTAGTACATAATACTTACCATAACGTTATCAGTTTTTTTTAAATAATTCTTCAAATTTTTCAGACACAAAACACACTTTTGTTTTCTCACCGACAATTTTACTCAGATAATAACTGGACAGTAGAGATCCTTTTTCTCGCTTCGCTTTATTTTATCGTTCTCAATAGCACTTTTAGACACTATTTGTATATATATACATATATATGTATATATATATACATTTGTATGTATAAATGGCTTTCTATCTCTAGAAAGGTAGAAAGCAAATAACGCCTGACGTGTCGCAAACAATCTTACTGCTCCGTCGATGTATCTCAATTTAGGCGTCATATGTATTTATATACAACTATATATATATATATATATATATATATATATATATGTGTTTACATATATATATAATGAAATCCGACATGAATATGAAAATTAATGATTAAGAAATTTCATCCACCTAATTAGATTTTGCACAGTCCAATAATCATGGAATCCTTGTCTGACCTTTATGTATATGCATGTATGTATATATATATATATGAGGATATATATATATATATATATATATATATCCTCATACTTTATATTAAATGTTTTGAAGATATAGGATGTTCATTTTTCCAGAAATCGTTTTGAAACAACAAAAAGAAACATTTTGAAATATTTAAAATTATAAAATACCAGACAATTTAAAATTATATATATAGTTATATAAATATATATGTATATATATATATATATATGCATTGTAGTGTGTTCGTTGAAATTGCCCCTGATGTACCGTCAAACATCATTGCTTCTTCTTTGAAAGCTTCTTCAAAGCTTATCCGAGTATATAAGAAGCTTTTCAATGCCCACGAATATACATTAGTGTTTATACATACATTTATATACATAGACATACATATATATATATATATATATATATATATATATATATATATATATACAAGCGCAGGTTCTATAAATATAGATTTATCGAATTTTTATGAGATTTTAAGTGCCCATCTTTGAGGTATTAGGGGATGTAAGACAACATTTTTCTATGCTCGATCAAATATTTTTATTACCATTTCGTTTTTCAAGGTTATAGCATTCTGTGTGCAAAATGTACTCTTCCAATGAAATTTGAGGATATATATTTTTTTGGTATGCACATTTTTATTGTCAATCAAAATATACATTATTGAAGATAAGTGAATTGAAAAGGGTGAGGTATTGGGTTTGAGCAATGTAGATTAGGAAATTTTGCAAAATGGATTTAATCAAATTTGGAAATATATATTTTCAAATTATGCCGAAAGAACAAAGAACATTTTAGGGTTAAAATTATTTCTAAAGCTTCAAAAATTGATGTTGATAATGAAAAATGATCAAAAATGTCTGTTTGGAAATTTTCCCTAAAGACTTTATTTGTTTTAAAAAGTACTTTCTATTTATAAATTTATTTTTTTTAAAAAAATCTATTGGATTGATTTCTGTAAATAAACATTTAAAAAAATATTTTTAAAATTTGATATAAATTTAGTTCAAAATTTGAAATATTTTTATTAAAATGCTTATTATATATATTTGATCGAAAAAGGCATTATGTTACAAATTTGCAAGTTTTGAAAAAAATAATGCATATATTTTTGCAAACCAAATTCTAAAATACTTCTAAAACTTCAAAGAACATTCTTCATATAAATTTATTTCTAATATTACAATTTTTTTTAATAAAATTTATTTTTTTCAGTTCATCGCAAGAAATCGTATCCACACATGCATGCGCCATTAAAAGCAACTCACGGACGAGGTAAATAATTACTAATTATTCTTAATTATTAATTATTATCAAATATTAATTATCGGTAATATTAATTGCAATTTTTAGGTAAAAGGGAAAGGGCAGTTTCTGTTGGTACAGGACCCAATGTTAGTACTACAGTTTCTCCAAGACATTCGGAATCTGAGGCTTCTGAAAGTGTTGAACCGCAGGTAGGTACATTTTATTATTAATTTATAATTATAAAAAATTTCGTGTAAAAAATTATTATATTTGTATTTTTTTGATAAGATTAATAGTTCACCTAGGGTCCTAGGACTTTATCTAATACAAAACTATCTATGTATGTCTGAAATATTTTAAAAAATATTGAAAATTTAGTTAAAGCAAACATTTTTTTTTTATTTGTTGCAATAGCTTTTGAACTATATAATTAAATATAATTAAAACCTAGTCTATTTCTGACAGAGTTTTAAATTATCTAAATCTGAAATTTTACCTAACACTAAAATTATCTAAAACCATTGCAAACATTTAAAAAATACCTAATAACATTTAAAAAATAGTAAATTGACAAATAGTCTTATGTTACCAGTAGCCAATGGGACATTTTTTATATTTGTTTCAATAACTCATGAACTAATAACTGAAACTAAATATGATCTTTGACAAAATTTTAGTTTACTAAATTATCCAAACTAACTAAAGTTGATCTAACATCAATTTTTTATGACCTCCATAAACATCTCTAAAAGACCTTCAAACATAAACCACTTCCAAACACTTTCTTTCCCCAGCCTGCATTTCAACATGCAACTTGCCAATAGAAAAATTATCTAATCATCTTTTATCTTTTAGTCCACAAAGTCTCAACAAGATCGCGCCACTTCCTTAGACCAAGACGACACTAGTCTGGCCTATGAGAGCGTCCTGCTGAGCTCGGAATCTGAACCACAGGTAAAAATTATTGATTATAAGTTTCGACTATGCATCCTGGTCATCATCAAGAAATAATAAACATGCTAAATTCAATGTCAATTTGATGCTCTTATGTTTCGATCAGTCATCTTTGTCATCACCAGTAAAATTAATAAATTTGAAAATGCATGTACGTTACCACTGCGTACTCTGGTCATCATCAGCAAAATTAATTTTGTAAATTTTAATGATTTTTATAATGTTGTCATCACCAGTGCACTCTTGTCATCATCAATATTATAAGTAAAAATGATTTTTATGTTTTTTGTACGTTTCGACGGTCATTATCCCCATCATTGGTTGAATAAATTCTATACGAATTTGAGTTTTTTTTTCCTTTTTCCTTTTAGATTTCGGAAAGAGCTGCAACCCATACTGCCCCCGATGGGTCTCCTATTCTGGGACCCTCTAGGGTCCAATTTTCGCCAAGACGTGGAGATGGTAGTAGCGATTATCACAGAGATGGCGACACTGAGGATGACAGAGATGGACCTGATAAGAGTAAACGAAAATCGTAAGTGGGAAAATTAAATGTTTAAATTTATATCACAAATTTAACATGAACGAGACCATGTAATACATTGTACTATAAGGTTTATGCATGAGACACTTTTGTTTTCCTACTGTCAATTTTAGTTGGCGGTTGAAAGAAGATTGAGAACCTATCTTATAAAAACGATTAGCAAAAAACTGAATCTGAGACATTTTGACACCAAATTCAAAGAGTTCTGGTATATAGTTATAGTAGGGGAACACTATTGCCAACGTTACTAATAGTAATGGCGGGACATTTGAATTACAAATATATATAACATTACATTTGACATTACATAAGAAAAATGTGACAAACAATTTTGTCCAAACAGTAAACCTAAAAATTCAATTGAAACCACCTAAGAGTGAAAGCCGAACTTACTTAGTTGCCTGCGTAATATATATATATATATATATATATATATATATATATATATATATATATATATATATATTTGAAAAGATGCCAAAGACAAACGTGCAGGGTCAAGGTTAATATATTTGGCAGAAAATTTATATATATATATATACTCGTATATATATATATATATATATATATATATATATATATATATATATAAAGTGACAACTTGCCAAAAGTAAATTACATAACTTATTATTTCAATATTGAAAGACAGACGCCACAAATCTCGTTCATAAATTTTATTACTTTTGAACCGATGCCATGACAACTTAGTTAGTGTTGTTGCAAACAACCAATCAGCAATCGGCGACAGATACTAAGTGCTAACAAAATTGTACAAGTATTTTGCTATCTTCAGAAACTCGAATTTGTTTCACGAAAATAACCAATCAGATGCAGCGAATTGCTCAATTGTAATGATAGTATTTTTAAAAAGATATATAATTACTTTCATCTATACAATCAAGTATAAGGGGTAGGGCGGATTTGACGTGTGAGAGAGGTGTATAAAAAAATATCACGTGTATTTATTTCTTAACTGATTTTTTTTTAAATTAAAACATTTTCAAAAAAAAAATAATAAACAGTTTGTTCACGTAACTAAAAATACACGTGATGTTTGGAGGGAGAGGCGGGGTAATTTTGAATATCACCATGTGTCACCAAGGGGGAGGGGGGTCCAAAAATCCTTAAAAACTCGCTCACGTGATTAATGAACGCCCTCCAATAAAAAGGCGTAACGGTTAAGCAGGCTGCCTTTATGAACAGGGTTACGAGTTTGAATCCCGTTCTGGATAACCTGGTATCATGTAGTAGTGATATCAATTTTTACAGATTAAAAATATGTTTCTAAGACAGTTCAGTCCATGATACATCCAATTAGCTATCTGTGACTGACTCGATTGCAACAGTGTTATTTTTAAATAATTCTATAATTAATTTGCAATCTCTGTCCAAAATGTCATCCTTATCACTCTTTATCACTCCGACAAACATTTTTATTTCAATCGATCGATCAGTATCAATTATTTTAATCGATAATGATTTTTTTGTTAATTTAATTATCGGTACTATTCTTTTTACAATCAGTATTTAATTTAATTAGCAACAGTGATTATATAGAAAAATTATTCATCGTTAAGTTGTAATTAATTAGTGACAGTTAATTGAATTTAAATTAATTAGTAATAAATTTAATATTAATTTAATTAGTTGAATTATTAAATTAGTTGTTATGCTGTGTTTTTAATTAAATACAATTAGTTCGTGCTTAGTTAAATAAAAAATACAATATTAATTAAATTAAACGTTGTTAATAGTTAATTAATTAGTTATAGTTAATTAATTTGATATTCACACTATATTATTAATAATTAAACTTGTTAAATTATCAATTATAATATTAATTTAATTAATTGATTTTAATACACATTTTATACTTGATATTCGATAATTAATTAATGTAATTTATATTAATTAAAAAATTAATTTAATTCATTGTTTTCATAATTTATTGACATTAAAATTAATTACAAATAATTTTTTAAATTAATTGATACAATTCATTAATATTTTTGATTTTGATTTTTAAATAAATAATAATTAATTTTAAATTATAAAAATATATGAAAAAAAATCTTATTACAATTTTTTTGTTAAATTAGGTTTTTAATGTTTTATTATTAATTTCATTCAATTACTGTTTAATTACGATTAATTAAAAATGGATGATTATAAAAAAATACGTGAAAATGATGACAAAGTGGATTACTTTGAAAAATTTGCAAAAGTGTATAGAAATCCGAAATATAATTTTCATTCTATGGATTTGGAGTCGATCATGGCGAGGAGGTAATTATGTTTTAACTTTGTAATACATACAGCACGTGCTGAAGAGCTCATCAAAAGTTCATTACATCATTTAAAACTACAGTTGTCTAGCAATGCTACTTATATATTTCTACGCCGGAAATAAAAGATAAAAATGCACAAAGTGCCAATTTTTTTAGACAATTGTCTCTGTAATGGGTGCCAAAAACTAAAAGTATTTTTGAATGACAAAAATCTATTTGTAGCCTTTTGACAACTACAGCTTTATTGTAGCTACAAATTTTTCAGTCTGTGACATTTGCCGGTATTGTTACCATGTGAAAGAAAATTTTAGAAATGCTGATTTTGTGGAAAAAACAAGTGAAAATGTTTTTTTTGTAATAAATCAGTTCGAAATTGATTTATAAAGATTGATAATTCATAGTTGTTTAAATAGTTTAAGTTTTGATTTATATACAAAAATCTTGTGTGGCTTATAAACTAAGAAGTGCGTTGTTGAAGTGTACAGTTTATTAATTTTTATTTAATTTTTAATAAATATAACTATTAGTAGTTCTAGTTATAAATAATTCAAGCAAGCTAATATAAAACTAAAGTTTGTTTTATATCACAAGTTTCAATATAATTGTTGCAACAATTTGCAAAACCATTTATACACTTTTATAAATATATTAACCGACAGACAGACAAAGTTGCTACAGCTGTAAAAGTTAATATTTAAATAAATACGTCTTCAAATAAGATATAAAAATTATTCACACAATTATAAGAATAGAAAAAAAGTGAAATGAATTAATATAGGAAAACTAGCAAACCGGGCGAACTCCGTTTCACCACCAGATGGTTTCACTTTATGTAACATTTCGTTTGGTGATTAAAAGACGAAGAAAATAATTGCCTGCTGTTGAATTTGAATAAAAATTTGCACAATACACGTGATTTATTTAATGGTTTCCAATTGAAATGTTAGGAAACGAATAACTTATTTTTTTACATTATTTGCACAATTTCACAGTGAACACAATGCCGGTTTGTCACATGAAATTAACTGAGCAGACAACAATGAGTAGCTGTCAAACAAATGAGTAGCTGTCAAACAAATGAGTAGCTGTCAAACAAATGAGTAGCAGTCAAACAAAATATTAGTTTGTAGTACATGCGTATCAGAGATGACGCTGTATGTGAAAAAAGAAAGTGTTTTCTGCTTTTCTGTTGAAATCTTTCTTCAATTTTCTTTGCTATAAACCTCACGGAGTCCGAGACCTTTCCAACGAATACAAAATTTTCGAAATCGGTTCGTGCATTCTGGAGTTATATCGTCAGGAAGGAAAACCCGACTTATTTTTATATAATAGATAAACATATAATTTTCATACGAGTTTGCATCGAAACACTTTTGTAAAAACCACTGATTTAGAAATAAAAATTTTGTGATTTTTTAATGTATATTCCAAATTTATATACTTACTAATTAGAAACGCTAAAATTTATCTAAATACAAATGCAGATTTCATTTTTAGAAGAGTTTATATTTTTTTTGTCCTATATCAATAGAACGCCATTAAATTAATATAAACGTGTAGACGTGTGTAGTTGTTACAGCAATAGTTTTATTTTATTACTAAATATTTATATCTATTTAATAATATAATATTTATAAAAAAAAATTACTTAGCATAAAAATCTTTGAAGAAACTATATACACAAAAGGCTATAAACGAGCATGAGATGTGAAACTTAAATAAAAGAATTAGAAACGTGTATATAAATATATTATTTTATTTTGCAAAAATATATACTAAACTATTAGTTAATGTAATCATTTATAATAAAAGCAAATATAAACTTCAATTCTAGAAAAACTCAAAACGAACAAACGATTTGAAACTTCGAAAATAAAATATTCACTGGTATAGATTTATAAATGTCTTAATTACAATATTATATATTAAAATATTTAAAAGATTGCATAAACGAACAACAAATACAAATTTTAATTACACAAAAAATAGTAAGGGCCAAAGAGTTTGAAAATTTAAAATAAATTTTAAAAAGCTAACGTTTATATTTTATTTTGTCTGTCACAATAACAGTATATTGTTTTTCAGTTTCCAGTTAACTATTTTAATTAACAATGGCGCTAAAATAACTAATTAACCTAATATTAATAATTTAACAAACAGTTCACTGAGTGTGAAAAGTAAAAATAGTAATAGGCAATTTATTTATTGACTTTGCAAATCAGTTCGGATACAGAACGTGGCGGACGAGTCCGGAACATTCCGTTAGTGGATGTCCGAAGTGTAAAGTTTATTTATTTTTAAACAAAAACATATATAGTTGTTTATCATTTTATAATAAATAAATAAAAAAAAATAAATATAGAAATTTGCAATGTCTTTGGACTTT